CAGTGACATATGAACTTGGCTACCAACGTCCGCTTAGCATGATGGCTAATTGTCGAGCTTGCTAGCTTATCCCCAATTAGCTGCTAGCTTATCCCCAATTAGCGATTAGCACCTAAATAACCATTACTACACATCACATCATAGCAAACACATGATAACACATGGAATAGTATAATATACATACGAAACAGATTTTTACCTGGCAGGAGAACGAACAATAGTCTTTTTTTAAGGCTACTGCAGCAGGAGATATTCCCCGCTGGCTCACCCAAGCTTGCTCTCTTGCACAGCTACAAGCCATATGAGCTCGTAGCCCCTCCCGCTAGGTGTACTACCACAGTCGACTTTAGTGATCAACATTGGTGATTAGCTACTGCTAATTAGCATCTAGGCTAATGTCAAATAAAGCACATCATTAGGTGAACTCACTTGCTCAAACTATCACAAGCCACTCATGGCAGTTAGTGCCAAGCACACACTGGTAAAATGCAACATTAGTACCTCCATCAGGACACCTGTAATGCCTTTTCCTATACACTCATCTGTTGAGTCTTCTGTACTCTCTCTGGACCTCTACTGTGTGGATGTGTGTGTGAATGGGTGAATGACTGAATGTAGTGTGAAGCGCTTTGGGGTCCTTAGGGACTAGAAAAGCGCTATACAAATGCAGGCCATTTACCATTTTACCATTTTACTCACATCTTTGTTCTCTCCAGACCCTGCACATGTGCCATCTTCTGTTGGAAGTTCAAAGCCCCCAGGGAATGAAGCCCACACCACCATCACTCCCCATTTTCTGTGGTCATCTATTGAGTTTTATTCAAATATCTTAAAACACACCTTGCCTTCAAAATTCCCTGAATGGGTTATGAGTTGTACACAGCAAATAGTTGGTGCCAGCCTGGAACCAGCTGTCCTGGCTAAAAGCTGATTCTCTAGCAGTGTAAATGCAAACAAAACTAAGTTCCAAGTTTAGCATGAATCGATACGTGAACTGGCTTTGTGGAAAAGGGGTAATGGGCTTTTTACATAAGATTTAAGGGCACCATGAAAGATGATTAATTGGGGTTATCTTTTTAATTCAGTTTTTCCCTGTGATTAGTTAATCGCAGTGAGGTGTCATAATGTACTCTCTGACTTCTCTCTAGCTACTACTACTACTACTACTACTACTAATACTAATAATAATAATATGATATGGTTTATTGATCCTGTAGGAAATTAATCTCTGCATTTAACCCATTCACTCAGTGAAGCAGTGAGCAGCCACCAATCCAGCGCCCGGGGAGCAGTATGTGGGGGATGGTACTGTGCTCAAGGGTACCTCAGGGTAGCCAAAGGATCATTAGCAACATGAATTGATATACTGTGATTTCTGACAACTGTCACTCTATGGCCAGTATTAAATTTTCCTATCCTGATCTGAATCTAAATCTAATCCAGCATTGTGGATTTAATATGTTCCGAGTTCTTACTGTTAACAGTCTCTTTAACACCAAATCATCCAGATTGTAGCCTGTTTAAAGGATATGCAAGATTTTCTGGATGACTTCCCATTTAGATATACAATACAGAGCTTGGCTGTGACTTAAAGTGTCTCTATGTGCTTTAAGTCATGTGCTGAATTATCAAATTAAAATTGAATGTGATAAAATACTCTTTATTATCACCTGTTTTTATCCTCATCTATCTTTCATCTGCCACGTACTTGCATTTAGTA